GGACAGAAGACGCCTCTCAGATGACTTTTTATATAAAGCATCTTTGTTTCTTTTTCGAACCAGCATACCGACCTGTAAACACAAACGGAACAGACTCCCTTTCTTGCTGAACCTGTAACCCAACCTTCCTTAGCAGCCAAGGCACTAAATTGCAGGAAAAAGTCCCCAGGAGAAATGCTGACCATCCCTGCCATCCAGAGAGTAAACGGAGGTCTGACCCAAAGTCAGGTGTTTGGGACCTGGATGACAACCTTTCCATCTTTAAGAAGTCAGGTTTAGAGGAAAGGGTGATGATTTTTTCCATTTTCACACAAAAAACAAGTCATTCAATGGAAAATTAACTATCCACACAAAATCCCCAGGGACCACTGTTGCCCATTGCTGCTGTTAAACCCGTTCTTTACCCCGCCAGCTCCAGCAAGGAGCGATTCTCCCTTCCCCATCCATATGTCACACTGGGACAGGATACTGGGCACTGATTTTTGTCACAGGCTCATGTTTGCTCCCAATCAGCCGCTGCCAACCTTACCATGAAGCGTTTAACGCCAGGGCGGTTGGCACGGGAGGGCAGTGCTCAGCCCAGGCAGGCAGAGAGGAGCCAGACCTCGCCGCCAGCAGCGGGGAAGCAGCCGCGGTCGCCGAGAGGGAGGGTCATCTGCCGCCTGGGAAGAGGGAAAAAGCACAAAATTCTCTTTCTGAAGGATATACTCACGCAGGAGTGTTTTGCCACCGCTGGAGATAACTAAACAAACCCATAGCTTCCACACACCGCAAGCCAGCAGCAGAAAGAAATTGACCTTTAGAGACCTAGTAACTTTACGGGGAAATAGTAAATCGGTTTTCAAATTAAAACCATTTCTGTGTTTTACCGTCACAACCAACTGCAGCAACAAGCTTTAAAACCAGACACTCGCCAGTTACACAGCCAGATTGATGGATTGCCGTCAAATACTGGAAAAACACCATTAATTAAAAAAATCACACCTTACCAGTCTGTTTAGAAAACAAATTGCTCAGAGCGAGGGACCGTTAGACAGATTTTCATTATAACGGGCAAGATTTTTCCTAAACTCATTATTCTTAAATAGATAAACAAATTTTAACAAAAATGAAATTTTGGACTTTTTCCTTACATTCGCTCACCATCGCTGATCCTAAAATCATTCATTTGAATCCCCCCACTAGGAAAGATTGTGATTCACAGTGGGCACAAAATATGAAGAATTAAACTTTCCTGCCATGCCATCTCATTCTGTACACCCATATTTAGTTGGATCTAAATATCCACTAATTGTTAGCATGTGCCCCATAACAACACCATAATAACGCAGTGTTTTTCTTTGGTTTGGTCTCTAAAATTATAGCATTTAGATATTCCAGCTCTCAACAGGTATTTAACCCCAATCCCCCTGCTTTAAACATCAGGGAGATGCTTGCACTTTCCGCAATTAAATTATTTCAAGTTCTTACACAAGGGAGGAAAACCCCTAGTCCTCATGTAGCTACACATTCATTACAGACAGTAACTTTTCTTGAGACAAATTATATTGCCCCTACGTCTTAAATTCTACATCTTCATCACCAATATCCCGCCTGAAGACTGAATGACCAGCGCGTGCTATCTCCTACCTTATAAACGGTCCTGCTCCCAGGACAACCCCCCCTCAACGGCACTCTGAAAAAGGCAGTCTTATTTTCAGAGAGGATCAGTTTTATTTCTGTCAGGGCTGCTCCCGTGGCCAATGAGAGCCTGCACAGTGCAGGGAGAAGGGGGGATTGGCAAAGTCCCCTGAAAGGAGCAAGGTGACACCGAAATTCGAGGAAATTCAAAGGCTTTCCCTGGGCTGGGGCACTGCCCTTCACATGGGACTTTTCTGGCTTTTCCACCAAAACTGCTTTTCGGGGCTTTAGGGACGTTCCTCTTCCAGCTCACAGCATCATGTTTTGGTACCGTCAGACTCAGTATGAATTTGTCCCTTTGCCTGAGCAGGGTCCAAGCTTCTCTCTCAGCATCTGGTGTGCAGAGTTTGGCATCACACTCCCCTCCTTGCAGCAGAAGTTGAGAATGGGTGAAAGAATGGATGCATTAGGAGGAGTGTGGCCAGCAGGTCGAGGGAGGATCTCCTTTCCCTCTACTCTGCCCTGGTGAGGCCCCATCTGCAGTGCTGTGTCCAGTGCTGGGCTCCTCAGTTCAGGAAAGAGTCCAGAGGAGGGCTGCGAGGATGATGCCTCCAGGAGGACTGGAGTATCTCTCCTACGAGGAGAGGCTGAGGGAGCCAGGTATCTCCTTCTCTGGAGATTTCCCGGCCCCGCCTGGACGCGGTGCTGTGCAGCCTGCTCTGGGTGACCCTGCTTCGGCACGGGGTTGGGCTGGGTGACCCACAGAGGTCCCTTCCAACCCCCACCATTCTGTGATTCTGTGAAAGACAAATTGGGATGGGATCACGAGTACATGGACAGGATCACAAGTGCATGCGTGCATGTCCCTGCACGGAAACACACCGAAAAGGGGAACTCTTGACTCAAATCCAGGCTGACCCAGATAAATACAGAGACAAAGCAAGCAAACGCCCACTTCCCCTCCACCTCCGGCGCAGAGCAGGGTACCCGCGGGTGGCCGTGCTGCACAGCGGAGCAGCAGAACGACACCTCGCTGGGAAAAGGGACAAATCCACCCAGGAGGGTTTCTGCGGTGTTGTTCTTGTTGGAACCAACAACCCCTCTGGACTTCATAGGCTAATTGATTTTCTTCACTTTTTCCCACCAACCACAGCACTCGTTTCCTTCCCCAGGGACCTTAAAACGGGCCAGCGTTTATTCTTCGATTTCCCAGCCCGGTTCAGAGTGCAGTACGGAACGCGGGAATGTGAGGCTTCCTTTCACTGCCTTGTCTTGGTGAAATATGAGCAAGGAAAGCAACTCATTCAACCACTCTGAATTTACTACATACCAGTACGCTCAAGGCTCAGCTGCTAGACAAGAAAGGTTGCTTGTTTGAGGCAGGCTGGAGAAAGCAATCAATTCTCCGTTCATGTAAGTGGAGAGAATTGTAATCCCCCATGATTTATTTGCGACCACCTTTTCCTGCACAATAGTCTACAGCTTTCAGCAATAACAAGCTCATTAAGGAAAGTCTGTTACTAAGCATACCAGGCTCGATCGATCCACCAGCTTTTCCGGCTGTTCCGAAGAAATCAGTGCGGAGTTCTGCAGCGAGATGCTCGGGCCCCGGGGAGGACAGGGGCTGGTCACAGCTCCTGCAGCGGAACCTGCACCACCGCTCACTGGTGCCCATTCGTAGCGCTGGAAACAGAGCCGGATCCGGAATTCAAACGGTGGTTTTTTAAAAGTTAATGACCCTTTTCAATACTGGAATTGGACTCGGTGTTTTAAACTGAAGTAAAAAACACTCGTGTCTTCAGCAGGTATATTTCTGAGAAGATCACAGACACACAAACTGAAGACAGAAGGCAATCAAACCAATTGCAATAAAATCCTTGTTTTGATCTGAACTCAGGACTTTTCATCAGCAACAGAAGGTATTCAGCAGGGGAAGTTTAACAGTTTTTAACCAAGATTACTGCACTTTACAGTGTTGCTTCCCTACACACCAAACCTACTCTTTCACAGACTTCAATTTAATGCCGTATTTGATGCACTCTAAAGCTAAAGCAAGAATCACGGCTTTAATCCTGGGTTAGTGCATTATCCTGCATAGCCTGAATAGTAGCAGTCTCGAATAGTACTATTAGATTATGTGACAACTGCAGGATTTTTAATAATACAGCGCTTATTGAGTTACATAAGCAGTTTGGAAAACTCATGTGTTGAGAGCGTAAATTAAGATTTAGCACTAGATTAATCATTTTGTTTATTCAGGGTATTCGTATCTACATTTTACTGATATAAATGATGCATGTGGGCCATTAAAATTCCTTCAAAGCATATTTCAGACATACTCCTAGCCTTGCATATGTGCAGATAACTGGTTTAGACTGAGATTTGTAAAGCCAAGTAAAAAAAAACCTGTGTCCATGCTACCTATTTCCACTGGCATGTCCACCAGCCATGGGTAGCAAGGGCTGCGATCTTCCCATATTTGCTGGGTCACTAAAAGACCCTGCCGCAGCTTGGCAAAAGCAAAGATGCAAAAGCCAGTGCATCCTGGAAGGAGTCTCAACCAGGATAAAGCAAATCCCCAAGGTAGCAGCACCCTTGCAACCGCTAACCCTTGCAACCCTAAAGCCGGCTCCCCACCGTTTGAATCAGAGGCGGGGAGGAAAGGAAGGGTTTGCCCAGCGCCCCTCACCTCTCCCCTCCCGGGCAGCCCTCCCGGGGCACAGCGGGGTCCGCAGCCGGGATGTGCCCACAGCAGCCTCCTGTTTGCGGGATTCTCTTCTTGGCTGCCATCCTGAAACACGGAGGGACACGGCAAACTGTAAATATATTTTGTGTTAAATTAACGGAGCATTTCTTAAGCGAGATCAGCAAAGGAGATTCAAAACGCACCTCCCAGAGGGTTCCACTTCCAATTGTTTGCAAATGAAAACAGAGGATTTAGACCTGCAGACCAAGGTAGACTGATAAACTAAAAAAAAATCTGGTTTGGAAATACAATAAAGGAGAAAACAGTGAAAACCCAAGCGGCGTAGAAAATAAGCCAGGTTTGTAATAATAGGCAATTTAAATTCTTAACGCTCAAATGTCACGAAGGCAAACTGGAAAAGAATATTCACACAGAATAGGAAATGGGTAAAAATGGAATTAAATTATATTTGAGCTGGGTAAAACGTGTTAAAAGGGAATTAACATTTCTGAGTAAAAAAACAATTAACACTTCTCACAAGACTTCCCACAATAATTTAGCAGACCTCCTGGAAGAGGCCCTCCTCTCCTCCCCAGTAATTTTATTTTCTGGAAAATGGAAATGTGTTCTGTTTTCCTTTACTCATTATCACAAAACAATTGAGCTAAAAAGAAAAAGACTGAAATTAAAATTTTCTGCTATGTTGTTATTCAGGGAAGGGAATATTTCCATATGAGACAGTACAATAGATAAATTAATCAAGTCAAGTTACAACCTTTTTCCTCCTCTCTTATGTACTCAGTATGCCGTAGCCTCCTAAATGTCACTTAGAAGCAGCACTAAATGGACAGCAGAAATTCACCCTTGCTGGGTGGAAAAAAAGCAGAATACAATTTCATTTCTCTCCCCCATTTTCCTTCTGTCCTTACTCTTTTTTTCAACCTGGAAATCCAGCCAGCCCATGTTTTCCAGGCTGCTCCCTCTTCCCAGGGACTTCAGGGTCTGCTTTGGGCCCCAACAATCCTCTGACACCAGGCGACCCCGCGTGGCCCTTCCAGCCCTTCCCACCCATTTCTCCTCCATCCCCCTTGGAGCTCTTTTCTCCCCGGCTACCTTTCAGCCCTGTGTCACCTCTGGGACCCCGCTGCCCCTTGTACCCTGCAGTTCCTGGAGGTCTTCTAGGACCAGTCTGTCCCTTCCAAGAAGGGAGTCCTGCTTCCCCACTGAGCACCTGATTACTCTTCTTTTTTAGTCCTCGCTGTCCAGGTCCACTTGGGTGTCCTTATAGTCCTCTCTTCCCAATGTATCCTGGTTTACCCACAAAAGGGAAACAAAATGGTTAAATTCCCTTGACTAAGAACAATATGTCAGAAGAGGCAGAACACAGCTCTGTAGCAGAGCCTTCACAGCTCATCAAATTACCTGTTCGCCTAAATAACGTCAAATTTTTCTACGCGACACATGACTACAGAGGACTAAGCTGTAAGTGCTGTAAAAAGCACCAAAACAAAGCAAGAAAAATATAAAAGATCAAAATCGTTTTCCATCTGGGGATGCTGCTATTCAGATGCCATGGAGAACAGCCTGCTCCCCTACTCTGGGGACACTGCAGCCGTCCCGGAAGCCGTGAGGTCATGCGTGGTCTGTCCATGTGCACAGCATTTGGGATACCAGTTTGCATATTTTTGCAAAAGGACTAATTATGTACCAAATGCTTGAGCCAAATAAAACTTAAAGATGCAAAAAAAAAAAAAAATATTGTTCAGAATTTGTCTCTACGGTTGTTCTGTTTTCAGCTTTAAATTTGGGGGGGCTTTCATTTGTGGTGAGAACTTCAGACCTTGTATGGTGTAAAAATTAAACAAGTCATTTACGTAGAAAAAGGAGCTACTACATGCAGGCTCTTAAAATGCAGGATCTTAAAATGCTTGACTTCAAAAAAATACTGCCATTGGGATTTTCATTGGATGCAGAGGAATAAAATAATCTCCCTGTAAAATCAGTATAATTGCATTTACTGGTATTAAGATTCAGATATCAAGGGGAAAATAAAATTAGAAAAAATCTTGCACCAGTCTATGCCAGTATATAACCCTACGCCATATGCTGTTTTAAATTTCCTAAGTCTGCAGGATGGCAGCGCGGTTACACCTAAACAGAGGTGTAAATAGAGATTTAGTGCACTTTAAAGTATAATGGCCTGAAGGATCCAAAAGCTACCGTTTCACATAAATAAGCATTTAGGGAGTTATTGAAGGACGATAAGAGCTTCACGATACCTGTTACATTCTACCAAGTCAATCACTCTAAGAGTCCCTAAATGCATATTTAAAATACCAGTAAGACGTAGTTATTTACGTGAGAGACTGGAATTACAGCACATGAGATGCTGGTAGCTCGTCGGGCTGAGCTCCTACACTGGTGCTGATTTTTGAAGCCCTTTTAGGAGTGTAAAATGGCCCTGCAAACAAATGCACCCCCCCGTGCATCGGACCCCCCCCCGTGCATCGGACCCCCCCCTGTGCATCGGACCGCGGCGGCGGGGAGCAGAGTGTGGCCCCACGCCAAGCCCTGCGCCGGGGCACGGATCTCCTTGTCGGGATCTACGGATGCCTCCGGTCTGGACGAAGAAACACGTCCATTGTGCTGGCCTGGAAACTCTAGACGGGCAAAGGTAAAAAGTGATAAAATTACCTGGCTCGCCTTTTTCCCCCGGTCTCCCTTTGTGTGCCGGGCTCAGGGATGTCACAGAATCCCCGCTTCTTTGGTGCACTGCTGTTTTCCCTCAGCGTGTTTAAGAAACAAAACAGTCCTCCACAGCCTCACCTTTGCTACCAGCGAGTGGTGGGATCGCTGCCCTCCCTCTCTCCAGGACTGACTTTCAGGGAAGACGATGTTCGCCAAGGGGGAGGCTGAAATGCCAGGGGGTGGGTGCCCGTGGCAGCGCCCCCGTTCCTGGCCCCCATCCCCCGCTGCTCCCGGCGTGGCGGGGAACCGGCTGGATGCACTGCGAGCAAGAGCTGTCCCAGCACAACGATGCCTCATAAAAGCAGCAGAGAAGCGATGCGCAGCCGTAGCGCAGGGCAGGTGCCTCAGCTGAAGGATATCTACCGACTCAGAAACTTCCTTCCCAAACATGGAAGTTGTTGTCTTCACAGGACGAGATGCTAAAATAAAGAAGAAAAATTGCACAGATTGTACAGTCCCTAAAGAAGCACGGAAAGCTCCCCACTGCCACTTTTTGCAGGGCACAGAGAGCGACAGCTGCTTTATTGAAGCTTCCTGGAAAGTCTATTTTCTGGCTGAAATCTCCTTTTTCTTGTTTAATATATGAAACCCATGAGACAGACCCAGTCCCTGCTACTTCTGAGGTAATATGCAGCCTTTGTGCTCCTTCACGAGCACGTTCTGCAGCTTAAAGCGGCCCCTCGACACTTCACGATGTATAGCCCAGTATTTAATTATTCTGAGATCAAAATAATCCCAAAGGAAGTACATCATACCTATAGCATATTACAAACCAGCAGTTCTATATATCCAAATTGATAATTGATTACATTTAAATAGATACCTAACCAAACTATTTATTGCTCTCAGGCTAAATATTTGCCTGTGCATAATCTGGTAGAAATCACAGTGACCTCTATAAACAGCCATGAGCTGTAATTTAGTTTTTAAAACTACTCACACTGTGGACTATAGCATCATATTTTGGATAAAATCACGGCGAGGCAATGAACTGTCAGGGCGATTTTATACGAACATCGAACTTTAACTGGATTTTCTGAACAATTTAAAGAAGCGAGGGCCCCTCCTGGCTTCTGGTGGGTGCACTTCGGAAACCAAAGGGCGTTGACCAAGCCAAAGCAAGGAGGAGAGAGGATGGGTGAGCTGGCGACAGCGCACCTGGAGAAAGATGTGCTGGAGGAGTCAACAGGCTGCTTGGACCACTCTGAGCAGAGGAGTTTCTACACCTAAGAACTGTAGTGTGTGTGGTCTTATATATATACATATTTTTATATATATATAAATGGGAGTATTTCTAGGAGATTTTCCTGTTGCTTATTGTTGAACTCCAAGAATAAAAAGTGCACCATAAAGTTGTATATTGTCTCTAATTTTTGGTCCCCTTGGTCGTACTGCCTCTTTAGCCTCTTGTCTCATTCCTCCCACATATCCGCCTTCCCCAGAGCTCTTCGGGGTCCATCCCACCACGCCATCGCCGTCTCCTTCCAGCGCACATCCCTGCATCACCCTCGCTCCGACGCCAGACGGGGCAGCTCTACCGATGCAGCGCAGCCCTTTTCTATTCGCGGCTCTTTTTTTTTTTCTCACTTTTTCTTTGCATAGGCCCTAACAGCCCATAGAGGCGAAAGTTCAAAACATGGTCAAAAATTGTGAACTACCATTGTTTAAAAATTCATATTCAAACAATCAAAAATTCTTTTTTTTTTTTTTTTTTTTTTTTACAACACGAAAAATCTTGCCCAAAACC